TTCAAAGGCAGCCCCACATAGAGCGCATTGCAATAATCTATATGTGATGTTACCAGTGCGTGAGTAACTGTCATGAGACTCTGATCGTCCAGGTAGGGCCGTAGCTGGTACAATTTCCGTAGCTGAAGAAAGGCGCCCCTGGGCACCAAGTCTACCTGGGCTTCCAAAGTTAGACTGGGGTCCAGGAGCACCCCAGGCTGCGGACCCTGTCCCTTAGGGGGAGTGTAACCCCATTCAGGGCAGGGAAATGTCCCTCCAACCTGTCCGGCGAAGCACCCACTAACAGCACTTCTGTCTTGTCTGGATTGAGTTTCAATTTATTAACCCTGATCCAGTCCATTATCTGGTCCAGACATGAGTTCAGCACAGAAACTGCCTCACCTGGATTGGTGGAACACGAGAGGTAGAGCTGAGTGTCGTCAGCATAGTGCTGACTCCTCAGCCCAAACCTCCTGATGACTTCTCCCAGCGGTTTCATGTAGATGTTGAACAGCACAGAGGACAGTATCGAGCCCTGAGGAACTCCATGACATAAACGCCATGGGGCAGAGCAACTGTCCCTCACCACCACCCTCTGGACACGGTCAGCCAGGAAGGAGCGGAACCACCATAAAGTGGTGCCCCTAACTCTCAACCCAGCCAGCTTATCCAGAAGCACACCATGGTCGATAGTGTCGAAAGCCGCTGAGAGGTCCAGGAGTATCAACAGGGTCACACTCCCCCGTCTCTCTCCCGGCAAAGGTCATCGTACAGGGCCACCAAGGCAGTCTCTGTACCAAAACCCAGCCTGAAACCTGATTGAAATGGATCCAGAAAATCCATTTCACTCAGTAGCGCCTGGAGTTGCCCGGCCACAAACCACTCCAAAACTTTGCCCAAATAGGGGAGGTTCGCCACTGGTTGGTAATTAACCACCAGCCTTGGGTACAGGTTAGGCTTTTTTTAGGAGAAGCCAAATTACAGCCTCTTTCAAGGTGGTAGGGACCACTCCCTCTCTCAAAGAGGCATTCATGGCCTTCCTCCAGGTGCAACCCCCCATGTCAGATCTTCCAATTAGCCAAGATGGGTAAGGGTCAAGCGGAGTGGTGGTAGAATGGACAGATCCAAGCACCCTGTCCACATCCTCAGGTCTCAACAATTGAAACTCATCCATTAATATTTGATTAAGCACGGCACACTGGACACATCCTCCAATTTTGCAGTAATGGTAGAGTCCAATCCACTGTGAATCTGATTGATTTTCCCCTCAAAATGAATGACAAACTCATCATAGCGAGCTGATGAGCAGTCTGGGACCTCCACCAGATTATTTTTAGCATAATTTTCTATTTTTCATAATGTCATGATTATTCAGACCACTTCCAGATGGCAGTACAATTAAAGTTACTTTCAGTTAGAATCATCTTTCTTAGATACACACAGGACACTGAGTCAATATGTGATCTACATCACTATTTGCAGAGATGAAACTCCAAACAGTCCTGAAAAGACAGAGTAATTCATCAAAGATATTAGTGTTATTGCTGCTAATGCTCTGTCTTTCTTATGCTACTGTTCTCTTTCCTAACATTTAAAAAAACATATTTAATACCCAAGTTTGTATATGCAGAAAAAGATAAACCAATATTACTTTAAAGGTCAACAGATACATACTGTAGTTGCATAACCTTATCATGAAGAGTCAGACACTACTAAATGACTAAACAACAAAAATATTGCTATGAATCTATTAGACTTCAAGGTTAGTATTTGTTGTTAGATTAAGAGTGAAAATTAGCCAAGGTGGTTCTGTACTTTGAATTTCTAAATGCTGCTGGACTGGTTAATTCTACATTGCCCAATACATGAAACAGCCATGTATTGGCTAATGTTGCTAGCAATCCATGGAGATATTGGCCAAAATCCTGTTGCTTAGTGTAGTAAATTGCACTAGGGTAGGCCTACTGAACCCATGAGGCTTTCGTAAGCCATATCCTCCATATGTTCTGCCTAGAGTGGTCGTAATTGTCCAGATAGGCAGGATATAAAATAAATAAATAAATAAATAAATTAAAAGTACCCTTAAGCTGTGCTGAATGGCTCCTGTAAATGAGTGACTTGCTTTAGCACGGTAAGCTGCTGTTAGAGGAGGCCCATTTGAATCACTGGAACTTACAGAGGAGTTGACTCACTGATTCAAAGGGCCTACTTAAGTGCAAATTGCTATGCAAAGCAACAGGATTTTTACCTCCATATTATTTTGCTTCATGGAAGTGTTTCATTGGCATTATTGCTTCCTTATGGTAGTGATCAATGTTGTTGTTGTTGTTTAGTCATTAAGTCTTGTCCGAGTCTTTGTGACCCCATGGACCAGAGCACGCCAGGCCCTCTTGTCTTCCACTGCCTCCCGGAGTTGGATCAAATTCATGTTGGTAGTTTTGATGACACTGTCCAGCCATCATGTCCTCTGTTGTCTCCTTCTCCTCTTGCGTTCATATTTTCCCAACGTCAGGGTCTTTTCCAGGGAGTCTTCTCTTCTCATGAGATGGCCAAAGTATTGGAGCCTCAGCTTCAGGATCTGTCCTTCCAGTGAGCACTCAGGGTTGATTTCCTTCAAAATGGATAGGTTTATTCTCTTTGCAGTCCAGGGGACTCTCAAGAGTATCCTCCAGCAGTACAATTCAAATGCATCAATTCTTCAGCAGTCAGCCTTCTTTATGGTCCAGCTCTCACTTCCATACATGAATACACGACCACTAATACATCTTTTAAATTAGCTCAAAAGATTTTTTTTGTCTTTCATGTATTCCAGATACAGTGGCAAAGCTGATTCTATGTTGACACTTAATTGCCTCCTTTCCCGAGAAACTATCACACTTGTTTTCTAGTCTGTTTATAGTCCCTTAAAATAGATTTAAGTCTCTAAGTTTAGATCCTTAGACTTCAAGGGACTTGCACTGACAAGTGCCAGAGTCTGTCACTTTGGGCCTCACTGAGGACAGGATGTTGGTAACATGACTAAGATAGAAGAGGCCAAATATTTGCACTCTCCTTGTTTTGTGAAGTGGTAAATAACAGTATGTTATATTGTTGGTAACATAAGCCAGAACTAATTACATTTAATAGTTATAGGATTCCTTTAAATCATTTATTTCCTGATCTAGTTATAAATATACCTTGAAGAACAGAGAGCAGAGACTGTAGTTTGCTTTAAACGTGAAGGATGAAGCTTGGGGGTCATTTTAGTAAAGAAACAGTACTTATTTTGTAACAGGTTTACTGATTCAATACACCATCGACTTTACATAGGGCTTCAACAACTGAACTGTTCTCTAAAAGGCTATTTTCTTTTATTAACCTTTGGATTGCACTCCGAGTTCTTCTAGGATTTTTCCTCAGCCTGAAGAAATTACAGAGTCTAGCCCTGCCTGATAAAACCCCTCTAAGCTTTAACCAAACTGCCTATTTCCTGAGCCAAGTCCCATCTGGCAAGTTAAATTATCAGACGCTCCATTCTAATCCTCTGTCTCCCATACCAGGGCTATGGCATGATATAAGTGGCTAAGAAGCTTTGAAAAGGATAGACAAGTCACCTGTCTGTCACTGCTTGTATTCAAAGTGACAGTTTCCAAAGGACTTACAACAAGGAGAGTTATTTCAGGTTGAAGGTTTTCTGAATGACAGACATGCAGTTCTTGTCAAAATTCAGGTTACTGCCACTTACAGTCCACAAGGGTGACTAAGCTACTCCTTGGCCTGAAGATTCCAGCAGAATCACTGGATTGTGTTGTAAAACCAGTAATGCTAGTATAAATACAACTTTTGGCCCATGCGAAATAGTATCTCTACCAGCCTGTCCTGCCAACAAGGAAGCCATGGGCAAATCTGAAGAGTAAAACCCAGCACCCTTGGGAGGAGGGCCGGGCCTCTGGTCTGGAGCTTGGCTTTCCTTTGGTTTTCCATGGGTTCATGAGAGGCTTGTGCTGGTGTGCCAGCTCTACAGAGCGAGAGTCCTTTGGGTGCGAATATGCTTGTGAAATGCATTTTTTGTTTTGTTTCTGTAGTTTCTGATTCATTGTTCATGCCCAAGAGTCTTAGGACAGAAGTGTTCTCTCTGATCTAAGGACATCCAGACATGTTGGTTACAGGAGTGTCCAGGATTTGGGGGGCGTGGGTCACTGGTTCTATAAAAGTATTGTTGTTGTTTAGTTGTTTAGTCGTGTCCGACTCTTCGTGACCCCATGGACCAGAGCACACCAGGCCCTCCTGTCTTCCACTGCTTCCCGGAGTTGGGTTAAATTCATGTATAAAAGTATGTTACTTAGCAAAAGTATACTGCTTAGCCTTTTAGCTTATTACATACATAGACTTGTGCTTACCCAGTCATAGCTGATCTGCCTGATTTCATGTAGGAGAATCCATCATCTACTGGTGTGTTCTGCTTCTGTGCCTGCCTTGTATGTTGCCTTGCTAGCTTCATGTTGCCTGGTGGTTTCTGCCATTGTCTGAAGCTGTGAGTTGCTGTGCCTTGCTTCCTGCTTGCTAGGAGATGTTGTGAACTGTCTCAAATCTGTGGATTTAGACCATATTACTTAGCAAAAGTACAGTATATTGCTTAGCCTTTTAGCATATTACATACATAGACTTGTGCTTACCCAGTCAAAGCTGATCTGCCTGATTTGAGAATCCATCATCTACTGGTGTGTTCTGCTTCTGTGCCTGCCTTGTATGTTGCCTTGCTAGGTTCATGTTGCCTGGTGGTTTCTGCCATTGTCTGAAGCTGTGAGTTGCTGTGCCTTGCTTCCTGCTTGCTGGGAGATATTGTGAACTGTCTCAAATCTGTGGATTTGGACCATCCTGTTCTGTTTTGCTTCTCATATCAATGTTTACGCCCCCAAGCTCTGAGTGGCAGCTTGCTAAGAGGGAGATTTAGAAAGACACCAAAACTAGGTTTGGGAGGTAAATGTTATTTTACATTGACTTTTCTGGTTAGGAATCTGGTGTGTATGTGCATGGCTTAGTAAGCTATCTTGAATGTCTGCAGTCTCTGAGTTGGGCAGATTGGCTTGATTTTGCTCTGACTCTTGCTAAGTAAGAATATTTCTGGCTAAGTGGATGGCTTTTTAGGGAGAGCTCGTTGACTGTGCTGTGGAGTTCAAATAGTGTATTGCTGCTCAAACCTCATTTTAAAAGCTCAATGTACATTTCCAGGGTTTTGCTTTACTTCTCCTTAATCATTTTAGAATTCAGTGCATACAAAATATCAAACATTGGCATTGGCATCATGTTTCATGTGCCCTCTTGCCTCTCTGCCACTGCTGTCAGCCTCTGTGCCTATGCTGCTATTGAAGCCCAGGATCATCATAACATCTTCCTTAAGATACTTTTGCTCCCACCCTCTTTGTGCTGCTATTGCTGGAGGAAGCACTCTTCTTTGGTCTGCAACCAAATGACTAGGAATGGTCACAGAATGGCCATGCAAAGGCCAAGCCCCAGCTGTTTTTGGCACTTTTCAGGTTGTATGCAAAAGATACTTTTGCTCCCACCCTCTTTGTGCTGCTATTGCTGGAGGAAGCACTCTTCTTTGGTCTGCAACCAAATGACTAGGAATGGTCACAGAATGGCCATGCAAAGGCCAAGCCCCAGCTGTTTTTGGCACTTTTCAGGTTGTTATAATCACATAGATGCCTTTGACATAGATAGGGCTTATAGAGCAAAGATTCCAAGTGGAGGGAAACCGACTTCTTTTGCGTCCTTGTCTCCTCTAGAACAGTGGTTCTTAACCTTTGTTACTCGGATGTTTTTGAACTGCAACTCCTAGAAACCCCAGCCAGCACAGTTGGTGGTGAAGGCTTCTGGAAGTTGCAGTCCAAAACTCCTGAGACTTGTTTTGCGTCCTTGTCTCCTCTAGAATATCCCACATTGCTGATCAGCTAGGCTAAGAATACGAAGTAGTTGCAAGGAGATCTCTATGACTCCTTGAATAGGTGCTGTGTGACTTGGGAAACCAAAACTCCTGAGTAACCCAAGGTTAAGAACCAGTGCTCTAGAATATCCCACATTGCTGACCAGCTAGGCTAAGAATGCAAAGTAGTTGCAAGGAGATCTCTATGACCCCTTGAATAGGTGCTGTGTGACTTGGGAAAAACAGGTATGCTGAAGCAATGCTCCTGAACTTCAGAAATGAAATCCTTTTAGTGGACATGCTTGTTATATTACCTTGTAATAGCCACTGCATGGTAATCCTTAGGTGGTCACTCCATCTAAAAATGTAGTGGAATATCCACATTGTTTTCTACTGTATATTTTCCAGGCGGAGACAGCAGCTAATCGGATTTGTAAGGTACTTGCTGTGAACCAAGAAAATGAAAAGTTGATGGAAGAGTATGAAAGACTAGCAAGTGAGGTAAGAAAGCCTGACTGAACAGTGCAGTAACTGTGCAGATAATAAAGTTTGACTGCTTTCGGAAAGCAACTTAAGAGGAATAATAAAATGACATTTGTGCAAAGCTATTATTTAGTGCTGAGGCTCTTTCTATTCAGATATAATCATTAGGCAGAAGAAGGGAAATCTCCATTGCATTCACCATCATCTGTGTTATAACTGAAAAGAGACTTGTTGCGGTTTTATCTAGAACTGTAAAGCGTATGTATGCTTACATTCGATGCAGATTTCTTACATTTGTGGCTCAGTTTACCCTAGGAATGCTTATCTTATTGCAACTCCCTTATTAATTTGCTAAGAAATAATGGATGAGCAAGTGGTAAAAGTAAGGATGCTCATGCTTTATTCCTAAACAAGTGATGGGATCCCTACACAATGGTTAACCACAACTGCAAAATCCTCACCAAAATCATGTCTCCTGGAAGTGACTGCTGGAAGCTTAGAATACCTCAACAAAGCAGCCTTTGGTCTTTTCTGCCTCAGGATGTCTTCCTCCCTGATGAGGCAGACTCCTGTATGCATTTGCTACCAACTCTTTGACTGAGGTTAGATCACCAGGAGACAATGTAGCCCTCTCAGGTTGTTACCTTCCTTCCATGCTGTGATGGAATATTCCTTTGCCGACAGTTGGTTCAACTGCAGATAAACCAGAGCGTGTGTCTCGATTATCATGTAACCACACTAGTGAACAGTGAACACTTTTTGAGCCCAAATTTCAGAAGCTATGGAAGTACAGTGTATTGTTTATTTCAGTTCACAGCCACCAAAGCTTTTTAAATTCACAGAAATGGCCAAGAGTCAGGTTAGTCGTGCTGTCAAAAGAAGGGGTGGGAACTGATTTTTTGCCAGTACCCATTTCCACCCATTTCCATATTTGGGTCACCCTTTAAGGTGGAAAGGGGAATAAACAAAAATTGCTCTCCTTTCCTTTGGCAGAAAGAGAAAGGATCCATTGATCTTTCTGTTCTGGATCCAACCCTTTGTGTAATGTCAAAATTCCCAAATCCGTCAAAACTATAAAAGTATTATGTATGTTAGGAATTTTCTTCTTGGGCTGCTTTCTATCTTCTTAGTTATCTTAGCTGGTTATTAATTTGTTTGGCAATGTATGTTTTCAAAACAGCTTTTAGAGTGGATTCGTCGCACAACTCCTTGGCTGGAAAACCGCACACCAGAAAAAACAATGGCAGCAATGCAGAAGAAGTTAGAAGACTTCAGAGATTATCGCAGGAAGCACAAGCCTCCCAAGGTCCAAGAAAAATGCCAGCTGGAGATCAATTTCAATACACTGCAGACAAAATTGAGGATCAGCAACAGGCCAGCTTTCATGCCATCAGAAGGGAAGATGGTTTCGGTAAGCAGAGAGGAACCTTTAAATCCCTCTTCTCATATGTTAAAATGTTCTGTTGAGTTTGGGAATCTGCAAAACCATTCATTTGTAATTACAGCTAGTATTCTGAGTATTAAGTTGCATAAAGGACAATTTGTGGATGTGAACAAGACATGGTAGGGTCATAAGAGTTCCTTTATCCATGGTATAGTAAATTTCACAAGTTGCCTTACTTATCTATTTGTATTATTGACGCTCAGACTGGGCTGTTGTTCACTCATGCCACTTTGTTCTTTGGAGAAATTGTCTGCCTTTCAAAATCTTAAAAAGGTTTATGGCACCAGTGGGATTGATTGATACACCCATGCCTATGCTCTACCATCCTTCACAAGAAAATCACAAACATTTTAATGAATGTCAGTAGGAAATGGCTAATGATTTAATTTAACCATTAGAGAACTCCATATCTGTCTCAATAGGAAGTCATTAACCGCTAACTTAAGGTGTGATCAGACTAAGGAATAAGTCATATTTTGGATTGTTTGTGTTATGGTCTGGTGTGAACTGTATTCCAGCAATCACATGATGCGCAGGAAATTGTGAACCAGCCCAACCCTGCTACTCTTTTTTGGGGACAGAGAGGAGCAATTCATGAGGGGAGAAAAGGTTGCTTTAAGGCATTTGTTCTCAACCTTGGGAAACCTGGAAGTTCTTGGACTGCAATTCCCAGAAGCTTTCACCACCAGCAGTGCTGGCCAGGGTTTCTGGGAGCTGCTGTCCAAGAACACCTGGGTTACCCAAGGATGAGAACCACTGCAGGGATATGGCTTCCAGCGATGCAACACTTTTCAGCACAATCAAATGCAATCCTTTCTAGCTGTCTGAATGCACCCTAACTGTTAATATTTTTTTCTGCCAAGATTCCCATCTCTGGGCTATAGTTTGCCTGAAAAGTTTAATTATTACAAATGTGAAGGGTAAAGCACCTTACTAAGAAGTGACCTTTTGGCTTGCCAGCGTGTTGATACCGCTTTTTCATTTTAGCATTCTGATGGTTATTAGGAAAGGCAATAGTAGGTTAGTGTATTATTGAACTTGCAGCTGAAAACCGACGATCACGATTTCAGTCAGATTCCCCCAAACAATATTCTACAGAACCCTCCTTGTATTCCACCACATAGATTTCATAAATGTGTGTTCAGTTAAGGAAAAGAGGGTTAAGGACTGAGTCACAGAAAACATACCAAAAAAACCTGGTGTCACTCAGCTCTGAAAGTTCTCTCCTCATACAGTATTTGATACTTTCAGCATATCCTCCATTTGGCTATGACAGTTTTGCATTGCATAAATGATTTCAAGTAACATAATAAATGGATTTGGCATTGCTCCAGCTTGCTGAATTTTCTAAACAATCTGTGGTGAACTGATAAACATTTCAAGCATCCTCTGTCTCTTTAGTGTTTCATTATATCCAAATTCCAATTTACTGTATCCTCTTTTTTCTTGTTCTTTTTGCTCATGTGTTATTATTTATTACTTTTGCACCAATGTGCTATCTCCCAGAGTAAAGATAGCCAAAACTACAACAACAAAACACACACACCACAAAAAGAAAGAAAAAGAAAAGAAAAGGTAAACAAATGTTGATACTGAGAGAGACAGTAAAGAGAAGGGAGTGACCAGCCCTATGCGCAGAATATCTTTGAGATGCATCTTTAAAAGTATTAAAGCATTTTGTTGGAATTCTTTCCTTCTGTCTTCATAGGATATTGCCAGTGCTTGGCAAAGACTTGAGCAGGCAGAGAAAGGCTATGAGGAGTGGCTGCTGAATGAAATACGACGGCTTGAGCGAGTTGAACATCTGGCTGCCAAATTTAGGCAAAAAGCTTCTTCACATGAAACATGGGCGTACGGTGAGCTAGGCGGGCAATGAGGTTCATTTATCTCAAAGCCCATCTGATAATTATAGGAACCCATGATTTTGAATTAACATGCACTTTTAAGTGATGGGAAGTGGTAGAGAAAAGAGCGTATGTAAAGGATGAGCAACGTTTTGGGGGGAGAAAAGAGAAGACAGATGTCTGAATAAACTCATTAATGGACATGATTGGCTTAGTTGGTATGGTAAGTCTTTCAGTTTTGGCCCCTTCACTCGCGGAGTTACTCCAAATATACATAGTTTTGGCCATACAATAGGTAAGGATAAAGCAGTGTTGATGGATTCCTGGTTCCATCTTTTAAAAGAGCAATGACATCCTCTTGGTTTTGATCTGAAGATAATTTTAAGGGTGTTCACAGCCAACCTGCCCCTGCATATACTTTTCTCTTGATTCATTGCATAATTAGAAGCCCAAACATTTCAAAAGGATTATCTCTGCTTGAACAATGGCAAATTAGGTGATCACACAGAACTATGCCCGTGGAGTGCCCTACTCTCCTAGCCTGCAACAGTGTTCTTGCTTGTCAGAAGAAGGGGAGGGAGGTGAATGATACTCAGTTTTGATAGAAGTGATTACTGTTTTAAGTTCGGAACACCAAAGTAGGAACTGAAGATGTTGCCTCGTTAATGCTATGAACTTTCCACTGTGTACATGTCCGGTTTGTGCAAACTGCACCCTTTCTTAAATGAGCACTTAAGACACATTAGCTTTGCAAAAGGTCAGCTACTGGTAGAAATGAAAACAGTTAGAGCTCCTGCATTTTCAGACTTTCTTTGGAGTCTGCCTGCGGGGACTTCTGTGAGAGGAGTGCCTGCACTTCGAATTTATTACTGCACTACTGTTGCGAAGCCTTCAAGGTACAGGAATGTTTGTGGTGTTGTAATCACCATCTAAAGCTTTGCTTTGATGCTGTAAAACACCATGCTATATCTTTTGAGATGCTTAGAATAATTAATGTTCTTTTAAAATGTATTTTTCACCAGCAGTACAAATAAATAATCTGTCATTGAATAGTTCACCAATAGCATGTAATCTGTAAATATGACAAAATGAATGCTCTTTTTCAGGGGTGGATAGCTGTGGTCTTCCAGATACCAGTCCTTATCAAAATAGCCAATGGTGAGGGATTATGTGAGTGTGGCATAAAAATATATATTCAGGGCCACAATTACCCATACTCAATGTGGTAAATTTCTTCCTGAAGGCGGTAGAGTAACACCATGTTGATAGGTTGCTTAGGCATAATTTCCAACTTGAGTAGGGTCATTGAATGAATATCATTTACATAGATTTTGATCTATTTTTCAGCCACCAGTTTAATAGCTCTATCCTAGCTGGGATTAGCAACTGGATTTTGGATTATATATGTAAACATATTCCTGTATTGTTGGGGTTTGGATATGACAAGCAATTTCTCTGTGTACATGAGCCTTTCCTTCACCATTAGTCTTCCTAACAGCAAGCCAAAATGGCTTGGGTTTTTCGCTCTGCAGGCAAAGAGCAGATTCTGCAGCAGAAGGATTATGAGGCGGTCTCTCTGACAGAGATCCGAGCTTTGTTGAGGAAACATGAAGCTTTCGAGAGTGATTTGGCTGCTCACCAGGACAGAGTGGAACAGATCGCTGCCATTGCCCAGGAGCTGAAGTATGTTCCATTTTGAGTCTCGCAGCTGCTGACATTTACCCGATAAACTCTTTCCAATAAATTCGATAGTGTCATAGGTACAATGTAAGAATTCCACAGATAGCTTTGTAAGTGTTATTATCTTGGCCTGCTCATTGAAAACCTTCCTTATTTCCTCCTAAACTAAAAATAGAACTGCCTCAGCACAGCAAAGACTTCAGTACGAAATTCATAATGAAGCTTGGTTTTGATGTCTTCTTGTCAATTCTGGCTTCCCACATGTTTATCCAGAAGGATGCTAGAAAGGAAAACAACCTTGCAGAAGTTTGTTCTTTCTTTAAAGTCTGTCTATACACATGTGGCATTGTTTCAAAGAATATATATTTTAAATCATTGCCAGCTTAGCAGTATTTATACCTGACCCAAAAATCCACTCCCAAATGGCTCCCAAATGGGCCACACTTTCCAGGGTTGTCAAACTTTACACATGTTTTAAAAGGCAGTCGTGATGCAGGATGGAGAAGGATAGTAAAGTCAGCAAAAGGCACAATTGCTACAAAAAAGTACAGTTGCTAGACAGAAGGCATGACTCAGGTACATAAGTGTTAAAGCTATTTGGATGAGATAATTAATTGTAATAATATAACTAATAATTAATGATCTGCTTGTTCAAAGTGTTGGTGCAATGACTGGAGCGTGAGCAGTTTAACTTCTACAGAGTTTGAGCAAGGATGTGTCCAAGACCTCCTTACACAAGCATCAGACAGCCATGTTTAATGTGAGGTTTCCACTTAACTCAAAGGCAACAGCTATACAAGAGGGAGAGCCCATGTTACTGTTCCTCGGGGCTTTATGTTCTGCTGGTTTAAAACAGGATCACAGCCAATATAATTTACTGCACTTAGTAGATATTTTCTTTCTGTGCATATTCATTTTTTTTCTCATATTGAAACCATCTCTTGTTACAAGCCTCTGTTTTTCTTTCCTTCTGAGCTGTCCACTTGCTTGACAATATACCCATTTAAGTCAGACTAGTTTCAGAGGGAAACATTTTGGTCTACATTTAATTCTGAGGTCAATGAGATGCTGGGCACTTCTGAAGGAGGCTTTAATCATATCACCACTCCACATTATTCACATAATGTTACTGGGTTATGTGTCCAGACACTACAGTTTTCTCTTTAGAGATGGAAAATGTGAATCTTCCTCTCTGGAGGTGGCTCTGAGAAAAATGGATGGGCTAAGATACTTTGGACACAAAGTGGATTAGTTTTGCTTCTAACTTCCCTGGTTATTAGATCAGGTCTTCTGAGAATTACTGTTCCTTTCTCATCTCTGAGTTGCTGTGGTTTCATATTTTCTATTTGTCATCTCTTGGCTGTGCAAGTTTGCTATTTTTGGAGAACAATTGATGTGGGTGACCTTGAACTCCACTGGTTACAATTCAGTGTCAGCTCTGCCATTTTCTCTTTCAGCAGCTGAGTCTGAAAGCGTAAAGGTTAAAGTTATTGGCCAAGGGTGTCCGGATAAGGGCTGTGTCTGTGAGCAAGATAGCTTCAGTTCAGTTACCAAGGCTGATATTGCCCCAGAAATAGGAGCTAGTGAATGATCACAAACTTCAGAAGCCAAACCATTCACAATAGGAAAGGGAAAAACAAAATTATTCCCATTTATAGCATAAAAATTAACTCCTTTAAATGCTACTGCCCCATTAGCTCATGTTCCTGTGATTAGTCAACCCTTAGAATTGAATGATTACAAATAAGGGGTTATTTTTAATTAACTTAAGGCTCATGTTGGTGTAGCTGGGGTAGGCCCTATTTAAATATAGTCTCCGTTGTCTGGAATTTCAAATGTTCTTCTCATGTTAGGTTAAATCCTCAACTCAAATTGGTATGGACACACATCATTACAAGGTCTGTGATAAGTACTGGTATACAAAGAGTACTCTTATAGCAGCCAAGAGCTAAATGTAGCCTATGATGAGACAGTCATAAACATCAGCTTGTTAAGGACAAAGCCCACGTATTGGACTTGACTAGAACTGTATAGCCAGTTCTGCAGAAAACCAGTTTGTTTGGAGTTTTCTGTCAGTGTTAATAAATAGTAGGAACTGCTGTACTAGTTTCATGAAAAAGAAAAGACCTGAGACTTTGAAGAAGAGGCCCATTTAGAAAGCAAGGAAAACAGTGGCTTTTTCAACAGGGGTTTATATATTTGAAGTCTGTTTATGTAACAAGGTGTATCTGTTAATAGAGTTTCCAAAAGTTAAGGACAAAGCCCACGTATTGGACTTGACTAGAACTGTATAGCCAGTTCTGCAGAAAACCAGTTTGTTTGGAGTTTTCTGTCAGTGTTAATAAATAGTAGAATCCAAGGAACTGCTATACTAGTTTCAGGAAAAAGAAAAGACCTGAGACTTTGAAGAAGAGGCCCATTTAGAAAGCAAGGAAAACAGTGGCTCTTTCGACAGGGGTTTATATATTTGAAGTCTGTTTATGTAACAAGGTGTATCTGTTAATAGAGTTTCCAAAAGCAGCTCTTTTCAAAGAAACAAACGAACATGGCCAGTAACCATATTTCCAGCCTGCAGGACACTCCAGGGGCACACTAGCCCTTTCATGTGAAACAAGAGGTGACTGGAAGATTACTTCTGGTTTTAAGAAAAACACTTCTTGTTTTTAAAAAATAAGGTTTTCTGGCAAGAGAGAGAGAAATTGAGAGAGATGGGAGATCCTCACATTGTTTCAGTGGAGGATTGTACCCCAGATTATCCATTTTTGAAAAATGTTTGGAAACACAAAATGGAGAGATCTTTTGCAGTCATTGCCTTGCAATGGCCTCAGAGAACTGCATGCCTCCCATGAGACATGTGATTCCCATTCTGTGTTAGTGGGAGAAGGCATGGGGAGATCCCCACATTGTTTCAGTGGAGGACTGTCCCCCAGATTATTCATTTTTGAAAAATGTTTAGAAACACAAAATGAGATCTTTTGCAGTCATTGCCCTGCAATGGCCTCAGAGAACTGCACGCCTCCCATAAGACATGTCCCATTCTGTGTTAGTGGGAGAAGGCATGTATAATGCTAGTGTATCCATGTAATAATCTTAGAACCAGAGAGCAGGAAGGGACCCTTTGGATCATCATGTCCAGCCGCTGTCAAGAAGGCACAGTGGGGAATTGAACTCTCAACTTCTGGCTCTGTAGCCAGATGCCTAAGCCACTGTACTATCCAGCTTTGTGCCTTTAATACGGGGGTGGGCAATGTGTGGCCTGCAATTATCTTTGCAACCCCCTGGCCACATATATATCCAGGCACTTCTAGTTTTAACATTTTTAGGCATTTCCAGTTTTTCCAAAACTTGATAAAGCTGATGGTGGCTGCTAGGGACATATATTTGGCCCTCATCTGCTCATGTTTTAAAAGGTACTACCTAAAAGAAATTTAGTTGCAGGAACCTTAGTTGACAATAGGATGAAAAAGTCCATGAGGCTGATATTGATAGGGCAGAAATCTTGCTTTTAAAACCCCACATAGCAGTTGCCAGTCTCATAAAACTGAGGGGAGAGGATCAGAATTTCACAGGTCCAAAATTATGTTTCTGACGTTATGCTTTTATGCAATACAAGAGCTTGGCACTACTCTTAAGCATGCATCGTGTCCTTCCAAAGTTGCAGGAGAAAAGTCTCCCAGGATGTAAGATCAGTTGTTAACTCAAAATGATCATTCAAAGGTTGAAAAAGTAATTCTAATCAACATTACGTTAAGTAGAAGACCAAAGGACTCATTATTCTAGGTTAGTGTTTCCCAACCTTGAGTCCCCAGATATTCTTGGACTAAAATGCCCAGAAGCCTTCGCCATTAGTTGTGCTGTCCAGGATTTCTGGAAGTTTTAGTCCAAAAACATCTAGAGACCCCCAGGATGGCTACCACTGTTCCAAGCTAATGAGCCTAGAGGAAAAATCTTGTGTCTTTGTAACCTTAAAATGATCTGCTGGTTGGTTACACTGTCCCTTTTCTCTTAGTGAACTGGACTACCATGATGCTGCAAGTGTCAATGATCGGTGTCAGAAGATATGTGATCAGTGGGACAGGCTGGGGACACTCACTCAGAAACGGCGAGAAGCACTGGAGGTAAAAATGATGTCAAAATGCAGCACAGTTTTTCAGCAGCCAATATACTGCTGTGGGATTTGAACAATCAATGATAAATGATTGATGCTTGGTGAATACTTTACGCAGTGGTCTGGTTCCTCCCATTACACCGCTCTGTGTGTGCATGTGTTTTAAAAAGTCTTGTTTGGAAAAGATCTGTCAATGCATTACTGCCAAATATAATGACAAAGCTCCAATTTAAGCTGGGACTGAGGCAGTGCTTCTAGCGCCACCCTTAGGAAAGCTGCTACATGAAAGAATATTTCTTCCCCACACCTGATAGGTGAGGTTTTTTTTAAAAAAAATTCCTAAATGTATTTCCTTTCCCCAATATTTTCTGGATCATTAAGTCACTAATGATATGCTGCAATTATAGTTATGAAAGTCATCTTTCACTTTATTTTAAAAACATCCAGAGTTGCATCTCTGGACAGGGCAATTCTATCTGTATCATGGGGAAAAAATAAAATGGCAGAAAAACTGCGTTTTCCAGCATCTCTGGAAACACCTCAGTTATTTACCAGAGACTATGCTAGTGAACATTCTGAAATACCTGCACGAGAAAGGAGCTAATGAACGTTTGAGGATGATGCGTGCAAGGCACTGTTTTGAAGCAGAATGCAGGAATGGGATGAAATGGGAACCACATGGCACACCACCCATGTAACTCCCTGAGGAGAGATGCCTTCACAGAGTAGACACAGCCTTGTTTGGAACAAGGATTCAGGTTTCTGATTGGGGAGGGAACACGGTTTTTACTCCTGTTGCTTAGCACAGTAAGTTGCACTGGAGTAGGCCTGCTGAATCAGTGGGGATTTGGTGAGTCAACTCCCTTGGAAGTTCCATTGATTCAAATGGACTTTCTCTAGTTTCAACTTACTTTACCATGGTAGGCTCATGTGAATCAGTGGAACTTATGGAGAATTTGACTCACCAAATTCCCCACTGATTCAGCAGACACACTCTAGTGGGACTTACTATGCTAAGCAACAGGAGGACTTCAGTCAATAACAACGGTAGTGCTCATTGATGCAGCACACAGGGCATAAGGTGTGAGTGCTTGGTTCCATCATGGCCATCTTCTGCATGCCTGGCTCCACACACATGCACACATCATGTCATAGGTGAAAGAAAGGGAGCTCTTGGAACATGAATGCAAACTCCCTGAATCATCGGTGCCAAGAAAATCTGTAGTAAAATGAATAACCAACAGAAGAGCATATACATTCCAAAAAAAGACATTTGTCAGATAGTTTGGTATATGGGGTGGGAGGAAGTATATTAGATGGTTATAGCAGTTTCCAGAGTCTGTCCCTGATAATGTAAGTCAAATTAAGAGTAAGCTTGTGGAAGGAAATTTCACTTATTCTGTTTCTATGGGTCTGCTTAATAGAGAACAGAGAAGCTGTTGGAAACAATTGATCAACTTCACCTGGAGTTTTCTAAGAGAGCTGCTCCGTTCAACAACTGGATGGAAGGTGCAATGGAAGACTTGCAAGACATGTTTATTGTTCATAGCATAGAAGAAATTCAGGTAAAAAAATCCAAATGATTTTCTACTATGAACCTAAGGAAGAGAAAATGTTCCCTTTAACTGAAGTCTCTTTCCATAATGCATCAAGTACCATCTTATCTACCTTAATATTCTGAAAACATTTAAAGGGGAAAATCTTTTATTCATATTTCTTCCTAAATTGGTAAAGATGAGGCCCATTCCTTCTGACATGTGCATCTTCAGGTCTTGAGTTCAAGTAGAGAGTGTGCATTTAGGCTAGGAAGACATTAAATCAAGTTCTGTTCATTTCATTATTTTTATGTTATCCATAGAGAAGGAAGCATAGCTAGGCAGTGAGACCATTCCCAAATGTGTAAATGCAACCCTAGTGGAATGAGAATAACCTGAAATTAGGAAGCTGATGAAATTTGCTCATAATTTTTGGTGATTAGCAGAAAAACAAAAGCCCCAAAAGGACTTCTCCAAGTTGAGGGAATGGACAGTAAATAATGGGGTACAGTCTAAGCAAGTGTACACTGAGGTACACTGAAATAATAGTGGAGTTGGGGAAAATCCTGCCTTTTCATATATACAGACAGGAACTGAGTCAGCAGTGACTGACCAAAGTCAGTGTCAATCCAGTGTCAATGTTAGTGCTCAGTGTCAGTGTCAACCCAAGGTGTGGCTGCTGTAAAGAAAGACCAGTTCCATGTTGGGCTTAATTAGGAAAAGAATACAACACAAACTGCTTATTTGTGCTGCCATTATACGAATTTATGATACTCCTGGAACACTGAATATATTTTTGATCACACTGGCAAAATTAAGGGAGAAAAAAGGGGGAGGCATAATATTATAGTACTTTAAAGAGTTAATAGTTTTATTTCAGTGTGAGCTCTGGTGGGTCAAAATGTATTCCTTCAAACACCACGAATGCAAATACTGTACTATGTTTTCTTGTACCTTTTCTCTGGCCAGCTTTATGACCAGAGGAAGATAGATAATAGACTGATGTATTTATACTCTTAATGCCTAAAGAAGCGAGTTTTGATCCCCAAAAGCTCTCACTGATGTGAATCTGTTAAGCCAGGAATGAAAAAAGGACAGCTTTTCGTTCAGGTTGCATGCAACTCTCAGGGTACCTTCTCCATCTTCAGCCCCCTGAACGTCCTCCATATCCCTCCAATGGCAAGGGACTTTGATAAGCCCTCCAATTTTTTTGACTGGGCATTTTCTGTTTTCAGGAAGTAGTGCTAGAGAGCGCAATCAGCCATTTCTGCTATTTTAAGAAGTCTTTCCCCTCAACACTTGGGGATTTCATGGAGCAAGAGGAAGAGCTGGAGTGTGAGCCTCCAAGGTCTCATGAGGACAGAGATGGCCCGTGGAAATGGCTAACCCCTGAATTAGACGCTCACTCTGAATTTGGCCCCCTCACTGCTGATTTTTAAACATCTGCATACGGAATGACAACATGATGCTTCTACGTTGATGAACACACATTTACCACCTACATGATCTGCATGCGTTTGAATAAATATTGATGTAGGGAGGGGCAAAAGCTACTTAGCACAGTACAGCTATTGAGAGAGTTACATTTCCTCCCACCTTTTCTTTCTCTGTGTCTGGTTTCAGAGTTTAATCACTGCCCATGAGCAGTTTAAGGCTACTCTACCTGAGGCGGATGGTGAAAGGCAAGCCATCCTATCAATCCATAATGAAGTAGAGAAAGTGATTCAGAGCTACAGCCTCAGAATAAGCTCCACCAATCCTTACAGCACAATCACTATAGACGACATCCGCACCAAATGGGAAAAGGTACTATAAATAGAAATATGTTTGATGGGTGATGATAACTTAGAAGAACATTCCAGTTTTCTAGGTAATTAAAATTATTTATCTGTATCTTTACTGCCTTACTCTGAAAACTTCAGTTCAGCATGAGTAGAATAATACTGTATCTCATCATGAATATGTTATATTTTGCTATTGATTCAGCCTGCTTTAAAAAAGTATAATGGGATGTAGCTATTCAGCTTTTTAGTTCTTTGACAAAAGTCTAGGTAAGTGTGTGGAGCTGGACTTGCATGTGGGTAGGAAAGCAGGAAGGCATGCAGCTTGCTGCCCACTATTACTGTTTATGAAGAATCTTTCAAGAAAAGGTTTTTGAAATGACAGAGTACGGGGAGAGCAGACACTGATCTTCTATTCAAAACTTTTTAAAAAATCTAAGTGTATAATACACTCAGAGTGGGAGGCACCAAGAAAATTAAAGAACAACAACAACAAAAAATGAAATTGCTAAATAGTGGTGGCTATGGGAACAGTTGTATATCATTAAAAACTTCATAGATACAACCCAGTATGTGCTTGCAGCTGCAATTTGCATGATAAGTACAGGAGAAATTTCCTAGACATGATGAAAGAACAACACTTTTTCTGAGAACAAATCATATCTAGCATGAGCAGGTATGACTATGTGCTTATATTATCTGGGACGATATCTCTTTGGTACTGAAAGAAAAACTTGAAGGAAGACTTATTTACTTGGCTAATGTGTAACAAATGGTTTGTAATTCATCATATTAAAACTGAACATGTTGTATGGCTTTTGATTAAAGGCTGCTGTGCTGCAGGCACACCTCAACTGCAGCTTTAGCTGAGAAAACAATCTTGGTGGTGACAGGTATTCCATGGGAGAGCAGAGGATGACCCTTAACAATGAAGCAAGGTGTAACTCTCACTCTGGGTAACAGATTCCAGAATGGCACCAGTTTTGTTCTGCTCTGTATGGCAATTAACATGCGTGGGAGAAGGATTTTATTTTGAAAGATGTAGAAGCACATTGTTTTTGTCTCTTGCTTTATATTTTTGTTTTGTTTTTGTCTGGTAATAATAGTAGACAGACAACGTGAACTCAAATTGACTACTGAGTGCAATATGCACTGATAAGTTAGGAAAAGTTAGCTAATGCATATTTGCATGAAAAGAAGCACTGCTGAAGAGAGTGAAGCCTACATATGCACACTGGTGCAGTTCAGTAATTTTACACTCTGGCCCTCATAATCTTAACACAGATTCCCTTCTTTATATGATGCTCATTTTCTTCAAAATGTATTAAATCAACTCTGCCTTTTTCTGAAAGCTCTTCTCATTTTGTTGATGGTGGTCTTCAACATCTACCTCAAAAGCATGCTCTGAAGGCCCTACTGAATATGCCATGCATTGTTTTGCAAGTTAGAAATTGAACAAGGAGCATAAATGTAGTAGGAACTAATCCCTGCAATTAGTCTTCACAAATTAAAGTCTCTTTTCCTAGAAACGGATATTTCAATTCAATCAGCCCCTTCTTTTCCTTCCTACTACCCTAAATCTCTCATTAAATTCACCCTACGAATACTTAGCTTGCACGTCACACTGCTTTTAAGAAAAGGTAATCCGACTTGGGCAACAAACTAAATTTTGCTTACTGGCAGGTAAAACAACTTGTGCCTGTACGGGATCAATCACTGCAGGAGGAGCTGGCCCGTCAACATGCAAATGAACGCCTTCGCCGCCAGTTTGCTGCTCAAGCCAATGTCATTGGCCCCTGGATCCAGAACAAGATGGAGGTAAATATGAATAAGATACAGAGTATTTATATTGAGAAGCTCTGTCATTGCAGGGTGGGGAAGGAAGCTAGGAGTTGAAATTATAGGTGGCTTGTGATCACAGCAGAAGGATGCTCCTTAGATTTAGGGGTGAGTTGTTTGGTCCACATGCCTCCACCAGTAAAAATCAGACAAACAAAACAGATCGAGATTAGTGTCAGGATTGACAAAGTGGATCATATGGTTGTGAAGGATTAGATAAGGGGAGACTTGTGGAATTTTCTATTACAAGATGTAGTGATGGCCACCGGCTTGGGATGTTTTAAGAAAATACTAGAGGAATTATTGGGTAAAGGCTATCAGTAGTTGTGTATTATCTCCACTACCCAAGACAAAATGCCTCTCAATACCAGCTGTAAGGGTGAGGGTGCCATTGTGCTTAGGTCCTGCCTTGAACTTCCTTTATGCATCATGTTGACTTGTGTAGAAAAAAGCTCTGGATTAGCTCGGCCTTTAGTTTGCTCCTGCATGCTTCCTGTTCTGGATAGTGCATGCACAACTTAGAATATTCCAGATATAAGGTTTTGCAAGTGGTAGATACATTGAATTAGCGCACTCAGCAGTCACAGGTGCACATGAACTGGGTCAGTCACAGTTATGTTAACTGCTACTAGTACAACGACTAGGATAGGTGGGCATTATTACATGCCAGCCTCTTCAGGGAGGCATACTTTTTCAAATTGAATTGTTGTGTTCTCTTGGTATTTCATGTGCTTTTAGTATTGATTTTATTTACCATTTTTATTATGATACTTGTTTAATTCTTTTTAAATATTTGTATACTTACTATTTTTAGCTTTTACCTATTGTCCTTTTAATTATTTAAGCTGGCTTGGGTCCTTTTAAGGAGAAATGTGAGGTAAAACTATTTTAAATAAACAAATACCTTCTACACATTCTTCTGATTTGTCAGTAACTGAAATTCTGTATGTGTAAGTTCTGTGGCATAAGGTTTGTGATATCATCAGCCAGGGCATGTTTTTGAAAATTAAACATTTCTGCCTCTTGTTACAAGGTCCCAGGGGACTCTGAGTAACTCCTTTCATCGTTGAGAACCTCTAGGACCAATGGATGGGAGGGAGAAGTCTTTAATTATCTAAAATTGCCATTACTGGGATGCCTTTATTGGTGGTAGCAATTTTCGGTAATTAAAGACATCCTTCTCTGTCCCTTGGCTCCCCAGGTTCCCAGTGATAAAAGGGGTAAGTCAGGATCCGTATATATTAAAAATGTATGTATTAAAAAATTGCCCTGGCTGATATTATGAGCCTCACACCACAGAACTTTAACATACAGGATTTCAGCTAGTATGTTTGTGACTGTGATAACTTGAAACAGAAAGTAATATCTGAAATGCCCTAGAGCAGTGGCCCCCAACCTTTTTGGGACCATGGACCGGTTGGGGGTTGCGGGCTCTGTGCATGGGGGGGGCACCCCCACAATCACAGGTGAGCGTGTCACACTCACGGGTGGGCGTGTCATGCTCTTGCGCATACACATGAGTGTGACACACCCAACCATGAGCGTGACACACCCCTCCGTGAGCATGCGTGCAGGGGGGTGGAGATCCGTCTCCGCAGCCCAGTTCCAGGAAGCCCACAGACCGGCACCAGACTGCAGACTGGGGGTTGGATACCCCTGCCTTAGAGAACTTTTAGAAGCAGTACTCTCACTCATCTCTCTTTTTGTGCACATACACACACTGAAATTTAATTGCTTCTTCTTCTATTAATGTGTGTTTAATATGAAAAAATATTTTGCAAGCTAACAAAAGTGCTTTCTTGCCGTCTCTTTGGCAGGAAATTGCTCGAACCTCCATTGATATAACAGGACCATTAGAGGACCAGATGAATCAATTAAAACAGCATGAGCACAATATAATCAATTACAAACCCAATATCGACAAGTTGGAAGGAGATCATCAGCTGATACAAGAAGCCCTGGTGTTTGATAATAAGCATACCAACTATACAATGGAGGTAACTATGGAATTTTTTTCTGTATTCTGTAGTGACAGCAGGTTTCCAGTATGCAGTCTCACTGTGACTGAGATTTTCAAGGTGGCAGTAGAACATAAGTTAATACATAGACCTTTTTCCTTTGTATTAATAAGCAAAAGTGTTTTCATAGTGACTCCAGAATGATAACATGAAGGTTACAGTATAAGGCCTGAAATCCTTTTACTTCCTTACGTTAGTGCAAGTCCAACAGCATAAATTTCAGCTGTGAATTGCTGCTAGTTAGGACGTTGGCAGTCACATTCCTTGCTACACTGGTCATGTTACTTTTTCTTTCTTTCTTTCTTTCTTTCTTTCTTTCTTTCTTTCTTTCTTTCTTTCTTTCTTTCTTTCTTTCTTTCTTTCTTTCTTTCTTTCTTTCTTTCTTTTATAATAATTTTTGTATTGTGGTGGCTTACAATTTTCGTGAAAGAGTTAAAACAAACAAAACCAAATTTAACTTGTAGATTCAAGTAGATCTACCTCCTCCTTGCTTTTGTATTGCTTCCGATTCACATTCTTTTTCTACCCGTCTGCATCACCTTCCAGAGGAAGGGTAAAAGTGTCCAAGAGTTACTGATCCTTTCTTTTATTTGCCAGAGGGACTGGTACTGGCAGTGACAGAACTGAGGAGGAGAAGCAAGCCCCAAAAACTATTGAAAGTGGTCCTTCATTGGGAGGGACATGGCTTTAGTAGACATCTAACAGTGCTGCCACCGATGGTAGCCTTGCTTCTAGCTGAACACAGTTCTGATATGAGACCTCCGCTGAAGGGAAAAATGTACATCTGGGACAAGGAGGTTCTACCTCCCTCAGTCAGGCATCTATATTAAAAATAGACACCCTCCCCTCATTTCTATAGGAGTGAAAAACCACCTGGTACATTCTTGAGTTGGAGTGAGAACTGAGCCAGGCATATGTAGGCTCAAAGTCCACGTACATACTCACTCTGTTCAGCCAGCTCTAAAGGTGGTGCGACTCTGAAATGTTTTCTGCAGTGAAGTCCATTAATGCTTTTTATTTGGCTATAAAATATTTGCCCTATTACAAGCAGCTTAATATGAGTAAGTTATGTTATACCCTGACAGCTTTTGATCTTAACTCTGTTTGCACAGGGAGAGCCACACTGAAGTACATAACCCCTCCACTGCTGAATCACTGACATTTTAAAAAATGAGCCATGAATCCATTCTTATGTTTCATGATAGCAACACAGCCTAACAAATCATTTGATTATTTGATTTATGCCCCCCCTCCCCATTCCTTCAGGACATGTGCCAGAAAAGAACAGTGATAGAATGGGATTTATGAAATGGAATAATAAAAGATTATATCTTTCAGGGGAAAAAAATATAAATGGAAAACTAAAACCACAGTCTATTTATCTCCAGACATTAAAATGTATGCTAAAACAGAATAGGCCAAGCTGCCTCTAGGAGATGCTATGGCTTTTGCCAGAACTCCCAGAAGGAAGAAGCAGAGCTAAGGGAGGGAGAGAGTGCCGTCAAGAAGAGCTGTCTGTCCTTACAACGTGAGGACACTGTTAATAAGCCATTTTCTGCCCAATGCAGAGATTTATGATATTATGACATGGCCTAGGAGGCAGTTTTTTCAATAAGCAAGACAAGTACTTTACCATCAATACTGAATATATGGAGGATATTATGAATAAACGATCTATTGTCTAAATATATAGGTAATGACGGGACCAGACATACATTTCAGTGGGCTCTGGGTCTTTTCCAGAGCCAGAGGACAGTGAGGTGGGAGACACTGCTGCAGGGGGCAGTGGCAGGAATGTGCAGCAGTGTGCAGCATCACACTCCAAAGAGAAGCAACTGCCTCACCACTTGGCCTTTCTTTAAAAAAATGCAGTGGGTCATAAAAAAAAGTTAATGGGTGCGTAAAAATCACAGACAAAAGCTGGCTTTTGATCCTGCCTGAGTTTTCACCAGGCCGGGTGCCACACAGCTGGGATGGTATAGAAGCAACATAAAAATCATGGCCCAATGTGTGGGTCAGGCTCATTCATTTAAAGCAAGCCCCAAAATAGTTGGAGGTATAAGTTTCAGATTTCACTTCTGGTGGTGTAGATTAGAATGTCCCTCTCAATCTTGTTAGACAAAGGGTTGGCGATCATTCAGCATCTCTCCCTTATATTGAAATAGACGGTTCCTTTTTGGTTAAGAGCAGAGGCACACAGAAGTGTGGCAGACCCTGTATCAAAGAAGGTAGGATAAAATGTAGTCTACACACTACATGAACCAATTACAGCCAAATTAAAAGAATTACGTAATGGCTGGAGGAAAATGTCCACAGTTTGCACTTCTGCTTGGGGGACATTAAATATTCTTCCTTGGCCAACCGAATTTGGCTGAAATTGGTTCATGTAGTGTGTAGACTAAATGTTATCCTACTTTCTTTGATACAGCTCTGATCAGCTGTTGAGGGTTATCTTCCATAATTCAACAAAAAGAAAATAAAAATACCGTGTAGTCCTGGCACACAATCCAAAGAAAAGGGCGGATGACATCTTGATTAGATCACTAAAAAAAACCCCACAAACATAAGTTAGCTTTCACCTCTGTCTATGTGTTCATCAGGCTGGGAACTACTGACCTGGGGGGGTCTTCTGTATGTACAAAAGAAAATAAACATTTGAAAAATCATGGCCAGATGTGCAGGCGAGGCTGTTTTGTTTAAAGCAAGTCTCCAAATGAGTCTTGAATGGCTCCAGATTTTTCTTCATCAGTTTCTTCTTCATTAGGCAGTTTTTTGATAAGCAATACCCCAAGCATGTCACCATTAATCCTGAATATATGGAGGATATGTTGCCAGGGACAGGCCAGGAGAGAAATTATTCCAAGATTATGTCTCTGGAGTGATAATGGAATGACATCAGAGCTTGCCTTGCCATTAGGCTGAGTAAGGCAGTCATCTCAGGCAGCTGAATGTTGGGACTGGCCAGTTTGCCACTTGCTCCATTCCCAGCAAAGGCCACCATTGCTCTGGAGAGCAGCTATTGCTTTATACAACTCTCCAGTCCAGGCCCATCTGTTTCCTGAATACCTGACTCTAATTCCAGAATGTAACCAGACAGTCATAGACAATCATATTAAAGTTCCTCTGAGTATCAAAGTATAAGTCTTTTCACTGTTGTTGTAGGCATTCAAGAAAAAAAAATTGGAGAATTATCTGTCAGATCTGCTTTGATTTTGATTTTTGCATTGAGCAGGGGGTTTGGACTCTATGGTCTTATAAGCCCTTTCCAACTTCATTATTCTATGATTCTGTCAGTTTCTGTGGTCTGGATAAATGGAGGGGGTGTCATTGAATAATATCTAGGCTTTGAATCCTGGCTGATGAGAACATCCTAGGAACTGTATCCTAATTACTTGTGGGGAACACACCAAGTGCCTGCAGACTCACATAAATATTTGTAACATCATAAAGAGTTTGACATTGCAGGAAGCCAGATTTTGGTTGAATACCAGGAAAAACTTCCTAATACAACAGCAGAACCAATATTTGGAGGTGATGCACTCTAAAGCTGGAGGCAAAACAGCTCTTTGTCAGTTAATATACTTTTATTTGGATTCCTGCAGTGAGCAGGGGTTTGGACTCAATTGCCTTATATGCCCCTTTCAACTCCACTAATCTATGCAAAGGCAAGTGCAGGGATTCACAATTAAAATTTATTGAGACTTCACATAAGTACTGGACTAGTCATGTCAGCAATTTAGTCTAGACTTTATTCCAGTCCTCCAACAATTTATTTTTAAGCTTTGGTTCCAATGTATACAGCCTATCAGAGCCAAAGTCAGAGGGTCCAGCTTAGCCTGCACATGTTGCTATAAAATGCTAAATCCTACTTTAATTACTGTACATCTATGGCTGGCCTTGGTTACTGTATAACTTCCCTAATGCCACTTCCCTGGATGACATTGGCAACTATAGGCCCGTCCCCAATGTTTCCTTCCTGAGCAAAGTGGTAGAGAGGGAGGGTGGGGGCTGACCACCTTTTGGATGAAACCAGTGCCCTGGATCCGTTCCAGTAGGGCTTCAGGCTGCACCACACCACAGAAACGGCATTGGTCATCCTGTTTGATGACCTGCTGAGGGAGGCCGACAGGGGCAAAATGTCTCTGTTGGTCCTTCTTGATATCTCAGCTGCATTTGATACCATCGACCACAGTATCCTCCTGGGGAGGCTCTCCGAGTTGGGAGTCAGTGGCCTGGCATTTGCCTGGCTCCAGTCCTTCTTGGAGGACCGTCCTCAGAGAGTACACCTTGGAGATAGTATATCAGCCTTGTGGAGTCTCAGTTGTGGGGTTCCACAGGGCTCAGTTATCTCCCCAATGCTGTTTAATATCTATATGGGTGGGGTCATCAGGGGGTGTGGAGTTTTGTGTCATCAGTACGCTGATGACACAGCTTTACATCTTTTTTCCAACATCAGTGGATACCATTCTGTCCCTTCAGCCCTGCCTGGAAGCTGTACTGCAATGGATGCAGGAGAATGGACTGAGGCTGAATCCAGACAAGATGGAGGTCCTGAGGGTGGGTGGCCCCGCCATCAGTGGTTTGGGAAAATCCCTCTCTTTCTGGGGTTGTGTGTGTGTGACTCTCATCATGAAGAGTGAGGTTCACAGCTTGGAGGTCCATCTGGATCTGGTGATCACCATGGAAACCCAGATAGTGTCAGTGGTCCTGTCCGCCTATTTCCATCTCTGATGGATTGCCCAGTTGTGTCCCTATCTTGATGCTGGGGCGCTCACCACTCTGGTCCATGAGCTTGTAATCTTGAGATTAGACTACTGTAACGTGCTCTATGTGGGGCTAACTTTGAGGTTGATGCGGAAGCTTCAAATGGTGCAGAATGCAGAGGCCAGACTATCAGCTGGCTGAGGCCAGACTTATCCCACCTAGATCTACACGAATCAACCGTTCTAGCTAGGATGAGCGACTGAGGGGCCTAATGTTGGAGGGAGGCCCATAGAGAAAGAACAAGAAATCAGGCCTTCTCAGCAGTGTCCCCTTGCCTCTGGAACAGTCTATCTGCAGAAATCTGCCTGGCTTCTTCAATGGGTGTTTTTAAGAGCAAACGTATGACCTGGCTGTTTAGCCAGGCCTTCCCTCCTGTTATCACCAAATCTATTCATTGACATCTTGAATTATATGAATTCTGTTTTTATTTTAAATTGCTTTTACTTTTGCAAGCAAGCAAGCAAGCAAGCAAGCAAGCAAGCAAGCAAGCAAGCAAGCAAGCAAGCAAGCAAGCAAGCAAGCAAGCAAGCAAGCAAGCAAGCAAGCTAATTAATTAATTAATAAGCAAGCAAGCAAGCAAGCAAGCAAGCAAGCAAGCAAGCAAGCAAGCAAGCAAGCAAGCAAGCAGTTACTTGTTGTGACCTTTCTGAAACCAATTTCAGGTTAGACTTCATCCTGAAACACAATGTTAACTATTGGTTTTCATTAATGTTTGTTGGCCAGCAACTGGTCATCATTAATATGATTTTCTACACTTTGGCCAAAATGCACCTGCTAATTGTGCATAAAACGAACAATGCAGAGAAATAAAACAAATAGGTATAATTAGTTATATTTTTTCAGAGCTATTTTGCTTGATTGTCTTCAAGTATAATTGAATACTGTAATTGCATTTATATCCTGTCAACAGTTTAAGGTAATGTTCCTTTCTTGGTTACTTTGAGGATGTATTCAAGAATCCAGCCTGTTCTTTTCTTTTCTCCTGCTACAGCATATTCGGGTTGGATGGGAGCTATTGTTGACCACTGTTGCTCGAACTATCAATGAAGTCGAGAATCAGATTCTTACAAGAGATGCCAAAGGAATCACCCAGCAACAAATGAATGAATTTAGGGCATCATTTAATCACTTCGACAGGGTACAGTACTCTGGATTTTATTTTTGTCTGATTCTTGGCAGCCAAAAAATGTATATGCATGTTTTTCTTATAGCTTAAGAGTCAGGATGCATGTTTAAATCCAGAAGCAGACTTCAAAGCACATATTTATTTTTAGATAGATAGAACATATAGGACTAAATGATTCAGCTACCTTTAGTCCTGCTATACATCCTCAAATTCTTAACCAGCATTGATCATCTTTCCTCTAGCCAAGAGCTACCCCTCGGTAAAGCCCACTATTTCCTTGCTTTTTGTTCTTTCCCCAATTCTGCATCTATCTGGAAATGAAAAATACCAGATATGCCTTCTCATAGTCTCTCCTGTTTTTTTTAAGAGTATTTGGCTTTCTGTACTCTCTTGTCTTTTTCCCCCCTTCCCATTCATGGTTGTTCTCACAAGAAAAAAGACATTTCCTCAAAAAGTCTCACATGCTGGAAGAATGGAAGACAGAATTGCTCTGCATAACTCTGTCCTGCACTAACACATACATGTGGTGGTTGCTTGAAGGGACCTTGCACATACAGTCCTAGGTACTCCATATGTGTGTGAGTGTGGAGTGTGGAGAGAATGGGAATCTTGGGTCACTTACAGCAGTTGTTGTTTTTATAATGTGCTAAGGCACTGAATATCACTCCCACCACCACATCTGATCAACAGGGAATGGATGCCCTCGTAATACTGCAGGACTCCATTAAGTCACCTGCAGTGGACCTTTAAGGTATACACGTCTTAATGGCTTACTGTATTTGGCTTTTTTTATTGGGGAATCCTATAAGGGTCATTGGCTGGATCGCTCAATGAACTAAGACAGGGAGTTTGCTTTCCCATTGTGTCTCCCAGGAAAAGTGGCAATCTGTGTGGTCCTGGGCAAGATACATGGTCCCAGAGTGCCCCCAAAAGGCAACACTGGTAAATCCTCTCAGAGTGCAACCTTGAGGAAGGTTGCCATAAATCAGAATTGACGGCATGCAATTGTTAATTTATTAACTATAACAGAAGTCTGTGGGATCATTTACAGTATAAAACAAGACAAACTTGAAATAATCACGACTACAATAAAAATGCAACATTTAGCAAATTGCAGAATATAGTTATCATTACAGAACGACAGTGTTACAATGATGAATTAGAAGCCCATTTCATATATGTACCATTCCCATGGCGTTAAAATCTACGTAATATATCTCGATCTTGCAAGCTATTACATAACTTGAATATTACATAACTGTGTATATTTACATGTGCTGTAAAATGAAACTTTAGATAGGTATAAACTAGTGATTTGTATTTTCCCCTGAAGGGTGTGTAAGATATTAAAACTGTTTACAGAATGATACATAAATAGTTTCCCTCAAAAATGTTCATGAATATTCAGTCTTCTGTAGAGCTTTTATTGTATTTATATCAAATAGATTAAAAAGTGCCCCAGATTTATTTGCTTTGTTTAGAAGAAGCTTGAAAACAACTGATTTCAAGCTAATTAATTACACTGATTCTAACAGTGCTTTGGATAAATGGTATACATCTCTGCAAAAGTAAAAGAAAATACAGTTTTGAATTCAGTGAAAAACAACAATCAACTAAATTAAGACCAGGGGTGGGAGATAGGGTAATTCTCAGGGTAAAACTCTGCAGAGACAAATATGGATGTTTTTGGTCTGATTTTCGTGTGTTTATATGTGTCTGGAAGAGAGAGAAACAAGAGGGGTAGGTAATTTTACACATCACTCTTCCCACTCAGGCAATAAACATGCTTTTAAAAACGTTTTGATGTGTAAAGGGCAGGAGAAATCAATAGTTTCAGTCCAGGAGAAACTATTGATTTGGAACATCATTTTTCAACCATCCTGTCATTTGAATCAGGCAAAAATGTAATCTTTTCCCCTGCAAAAAGAGTTACACAGTATATGAAGTGTTGAGTTTCCTAAGCTTCCCCTGTGCTGAAACTGTTAAGGAAGTGGCAGGGTTGGGTGGGCTACTGGGATAGATAACTGACCACTAAAGAGCCCAGCCTGTTGAGCCCCCCCATAACGTCTAGAGAGTTTCCTTTAGCCTTAACTGTTAATCCAAGAAAGATCGACCCCACATACCAGTATGTCATCTGTGCCTTTTGCCTAATGTGACAAATAGCAGCTCCAGGAACAAGTGACTTGGGTTAGTGAAATGGAAGTAATTCCCTCTCCCCTCCCCATGCACTCTGAGTCATGTTCTCAGTGACTTCTGTAGATAGAATTTAATTATTATTGAATTATTATTGAATATTGAATTATTGTCCTGTGTCTCAGGCTTTTGCTGGTGTAACTTTACATTCTGGAGAAAACTGCTGCAGTGTTTGTGGAAAGCAGCAATAAAAGAGGTTTTTTGGTAGAAGAGGATTTATTTAAGTTGCTAAAAAATGCTTTGAAAAGGACTTTTAAGTCACATCACTAATGCAAAGACCAAACCCTTTATTATCGAGTCCTTGGATTTTACTTTAAAAGAGCAATATAGTAAAACTAACAACTAATCACAGTAAAATACTATTTTCAAAAACCCGTCAGAAAGGTTTTGAGGCAGAGAATTTTCGTAGAAAATATTGGTGTATGTCATAATGGCTCCCTGTCTATGTAATGGCAGCATTTATTTATGTCTCAATCCTCATTTTTTAGTTACATTATATTATACCTGCCAAGTGTGGAGCATCCCAACAAGTGAGATAAGATAACACCAATAACTTTGCTATGAGGGTGGGCCAAAGAGATGAGCATGAACTAGGGGTTCATGCCAGTTTGTTTATTGGTGAATAAGTGTGGGGTGCTTCAAAACCCCACCTCCTCCAGTGGGCGCCCACTCAGAGGCAATGCCTGGAGGAGGTGGGGCAGAGGAGCCAGGCCGCTACCTCTGAGTGGCTGCCTGCCAGAGGAGGTGGGGCTTTGAAATGCCAGACACCTGTTCCAGCTGATAAATGAATTGGCACAAACTGCCAAATAGAGATGGCAGTTTGTATCCATCTCTAGTGGGCAATAGCGGCTCGGCTGAGGGTCATTTTTTAAACTTGTTGACAACCCAAAGACTGCACTATTAAGTATGTGTGTGTGTTAAAACAGTTAATTTCCTTGTTTAATTTTTAAAATATTTCATGCAGTGATTTTGCACTATAAGGGTTGCAGTACTGGGTGTCTGTTAACAGGCAGAAAATGACTTTAACTTTAAAAAAGAGGGTTGAACCTTCTAGGGGCTGCTCTAAAATAAAAAAATATATAAAAATGTGGGGAGGGAAGATGCTGACCAGGTAACTGGCAGTCTGTGGTGAAAATTTTCCTTGGTCTCATAGAGAGCACAAAGACTCTGGGCAGAACATTTATTTCAAACGAACAAACAAATAAGGGTTTGGGGTGTTGGGAGGTCCAATATTGCTGGAACCAGTAAACATGCCTGCAGGGGCTGCAAGCACCCTGTGGGCTGCATGTGGCTCACCCCTGCTCTACTGAAATATTTGGGCTACAGTTCTGCTCACATTTCCATGTGAGGAAATTTGACTCTAGTTACTGGGAGAAGACATGTATACTACTGCATTACCAGAATCAGAAAGCCTACAATTACAGTGGTGCCTCACAACACAATGTTAATTCGTTCCACTGAAATCGCTGTCTTGTGAAAACATTGTCTTGCGAAAAGCGTTCCCCATTGGAATGCAATGAAATCCGTTTAATGCGTTCCAATGGGGAAAATACATTGTTGTCCAGCAAAAATTGCCCATAGAGAAACCGTCTTGCGAAGTACCAATCAGCTGTCAAAATCATCGTCTTGCAAAAATCAGCCCCGAAAATATACCCGTCTTGCAAAGCAGGAACCGAAACATCATCCAGGAAAAATCCCCCATAGGGAAAACCATTTTGTGAAGCGCTATAGCGATCACGAAAAGTCATTGTCTTGTGGATTACCCGTTTTGCAAGGTAATCTTCTAGTGGGGCACCACTGTAAACTGAATCTTTACTTTTCATCAGGTTTATTATAGTAAAGATTCATGAGGCTATTTACTGATCTAAATTAATTCATTTTATGCCTTTCCCTTTCATGGAAACCTGGCTTAATGTGAATGCAGGATAAATTTCACATAAGGGATTCCAATAAAGATAAAGCTTCACTCATTAGTTTAGGAAAGGTAGAAATGAACTAAAGGTGCAGAACAGTGGGAGCATTACCGTTTGCAAATATTATGATAAATACGATGGATTTAAGCGCAGCTGCTGGTGGCTAATGAAATAAGTGAGACTTGATTGTTTTGTATGATTCAGAATATTTGGCTTGTAATGGGTAGTTAATAATTACTTCCTTACTGGTCTGATCTTTTGTTGTTATTATGTCGCTTTGAACTTATGGCAACCCTAAGAGTGTCTCTGACATACGTGAGATTTTCCAACCATAGTTTTACCATTGCTACCTCCCAGTGACTTTCCATGACAAAGCAGGGAATGAAGCCCAATCTCCCGAATCCTAGTTTGAATCTCAATTCATTGTGCTACACACTAGGACTTTTGCCTCTGACTAGCGTTGGGAAAGCTACTCTTCTTTTCAAATAGGACAGATACCTTTACTAGACTAGTAATAATGGTTCATGCAAGCTGGTTCTTCTCTGATAAACATTACACAGTTAGAAAATCAAAGTTAAATTCCTCATCAGCTTTTTATTTTAAAGCTGAGTCTCAGCCATTAGGTCATTTTAAAATGTATTATCTAAAATTGTAAGTCCCAACCCTTTTCAAGTTGTGACCTTTTCATAATAGCCAAATAAACTGCAGCCGCCCCCCCTGCTACGTTTGCATAAAAAAGCATTTTTAATGGGGTAAAGTCATCTCTTCTCAGAATGTAGAGGCTTCTTTCTCCCCCAAAGGGCCTGTTTCTTATACAGTACATGCACACACACACACAGATCCCATTTCAAAAGGTCAATGAAGACATTATTTAATAAGGGCTACAACACATATTTGAACCCCCCTTCAGAAAACACTTTGAGACCCTCTTGGTGGTAATGACCCCCATGTTGGGAAACACTAGTCTAAAATATGAAATTTAACAGACTATTTACAGAAATGAAATAACTGAGACCAAAATCCATTTGTTCGTTCCAGATGGAGTAAACCCATGAGTCAATTGTTTACAGTATTCAGGGGGGATACACTAGCTGGGTGTACCAAATAGATTTAAGAAAGAATGACTGGCCGGATCCCCTGCAAAACATAAAGAGAAAATATCATTGTAACAGGTCATTCAGAGCCCTTTAGAAGTCATTCAACTCAGCAGGTTCAGACGGTTTGGTACATGTAGACATTGCCACTTGTACAAATCAGTATTTAATTGTTGTGAAATTGCTGACCTGTTCAAACAAGTTAGAGGTTAGAAACACTGGAATGTAGGTCATACCTAAGTCTGCATTAATACAGTATATTTTGGGCTATATAAGGGTATTAATTTCTCTATTTTCTTCTTTTTTCTCCCTTTCTTTCATTTGTCTCCTTTTTGGCATTACTTCTGGTGACTTTTTTGCCTTTATGTCATCTACTTCTTCCCTTCAACTGATGGATCTCCTTGGACGTGATCTTGAATGAACATCCTGTAAATCATGCATCTGATGCTTGACCTATTTTATCTTTGTGGAAATGATGATGACTTTCTTCTAATTATGAAACTTTCCTTGCTATGTCACATATACATCTTCCCACCAACAGAAGAAGAATGGGCTTATGGACCATGATGATTTCAGAGCCTGCTTAATTTCAATGGGTTATGATTTGGTATGAATTTTAAGATCCAGTTAATTTGCTACAACATTCCATGCCTTACAAACATAGCATTTCGTACTACAGGAGCTAAATTCAGTTTTGTCCTAAGAAGAATAGATCCATTGACATCAGTGGAAATTACATTTGTGTTGAATAAGATGTCCTATCCGTTTCAATGGGGCTGTTCTAACTGGGACTAAAACTATCTGGTACTCTCTGCAGAACAGTATTTATTTTACATTGGGGATATTTTCATAGACTTCCTATGGTCAAAACATAAATTGCTCAAAAACCTAAATAACAACTTGCTGGTTTTTATAGAAGTACAAATAAAGGGCCGTGTCTGAAGTTAAGTGGAATGTATACATCCTTGGATTAACTGGTTTTCCCTTCCATAGCAAAACTTCTTCAGAGGTATTTGCTTTGGCATTCAGAAAGACAAATTAAGGCTGTACTTGTCACAACACAAGGCATGCTAAATATATATTAAAAGTGACACAAATTGAAGGAGCACTTGTTATGAAAATGTGCTAAACTTTTTGTACAGTTACCACTCTAGCCCTATTCCAAAAACTATTTATTTGTATGTATTAATTTAATATTTAGTAATTGAGAAATTGTTTTAGAAATACACAAATCAGTGTATTTTTACTTGGGATAATGCCCCCCCCATTTAAAAAAGAACCAATGGTAAGTATTTAAATTACTTCATTCATTCATTCATTCATTCATTCATTCATTCATTCATTCATTCATTTATTACATTTGTTAGATTTATATACCGCCCATCTAGAACGTGTCTACTCTGGGCAGTTTACACAATATCTTTCATGACTGACTCTGAATTGTATCTTAGGGTGAAGCGGAGTTTGCCCGAATCATGTCTTTAGTTGACCCCAATGGTCAGGGAACCATTTCCTTCCAATCATTTATTGACTTCATGACCAGAGAGACAGCAGATACTGACACTGCTGAACAAGTTATTGCTTCTTTCAGGATCCTAGCTTCAGATAAGGTAAGTATTTTTGTCTCTAGGTAATGGGATTTTCCATATTTCTCACTCTGAGTGTTTACAAATTCTGGTTTTTCAAGACATGTTAAAGAAATGCTAACCAGGTTGAGCAAAAACTTGTAGCCCATGTTAAAAACTCCAAAAGTAAATGTTTAGATAATAGCTATCAGGATAGCTTTGTTAAACCAGGGGGCCAATTCTGTACATTATCTAAACATTTCAAATTCTGTAGCTGTAATGAAGACTGTACCTAGACTTCTGAGCTGCAGTTTACAACACCAACAACCAAACTAAACAAAACATGACAATGAGCCCCTTGGGCTAAAAGGTTTTATCTGGGCAAGCTTTCTTGGACTGCAATCCACTTCTTCTACTGCGTGGAATGCAGTCTAAGTAGACAGAATTTATACAGTGCTGGAAAGATAAATGAAATGTAATGGAAACGCAAGATAAATGTCATGTTTATGGTCACCAGTGGCTGTTAATTGTCACTGGCAATCCTTGGTTGTTGTTGTTTGCAACAAACTAGATAGTTACCTCCATGGAAAAGATTTACAGAAAGCTTGTTCAGATTGGTATGTTCAGTAAAAATCATATGAAAGATTGAGTTAATTGGAAGCTTTTATATTTGTGTACAAACACATTAGGGATTGGGTATAGAAACTGGAATCATTTAACGACAGAGCATTACAGTCGAGGGTACAGAGATCTTTGTCAAGGATACAAGGATTAGAAGCTATGTTTGGTGCAGGGTGTTTTTTTGTTTTATTAATTAACATTCTAACCTTCTGTAGTTACTAATAATGTAGAGCATGACTCACATATACAGTAGATTATACATTTGCATAATTACGTTTCAGTTAAAACTGATAGATTCTTAGAATATTTCTACAGATGCTCCTCCATTTGTATTCTTCTGAATTTGATGCTTTACATACCAAACTGAAAACAATGAGGGGAAAAAAAGATTTGTTTAGCGTGGTATACCACCAACCAGTGAATGTAGAGGGATGAGAGGATGCTGCAGGGTAGTGTCATGTGGCGTATGTACTAAACTGTTAGAGCATTCCATGATTTATGACAGGTTTCTTCTGTCCTGGCCTAACCCTCAGTTATATTAGACCACATATCTACCACATCTAGGTGAAGAAAGCTGATCTGTGACATATCAGATTCTTTAGATTTCTACGCAATCTCATATTATTGTAGCTATGTTCCATAACATGGTTCTGTAACTATGTTTCATTACATGGTTCTGAAGGAGAACATTTAATGAACAGAATTCTCTTTTTAAACCCTTGCAGCCTTATATTCTTGCAGATGAGTTACGTCGAGAACTGCCACCTGAACAAGCTCAGTACTGCGTCAAGAGAATGCCAGCCTACAAGGGTCCAGGGGCTGTTCCTGGAGCACTGGATTATACCTCATTTTCCTCAGCACTGTATGGTGAAAGTGATCTGTAATTGGCTATGGTCACAGAGCAGTGCTGAAGTTTAAAATATGCATTACACGCTATTTTCCAGCTTGCTCCTTGAAAAGTCTGGAAATCTGATTTTAAAACAAATGTATTAAGTTTAGCAGGTACATTCGGTAAGCAAGCGTATCAGAATGGGAAACATGTGGCCCTCCAGATGTTGTCCAGCTGCCACTCTCATGATGCCGCACTGTTGGGTCTGCTGACTAGGACTTATGGGAGATATGGTCCGACAACATTTAGAAGGCCACATCTCTCCCATCTGCCAACCAAACTATATAAAGCGTGCACTGTTTAAAGGGATTATTTTGTTCGTATTTAGTTTGTGAATCTTTTGCAATTACAAACTGCACCAGCTCAGTGCCTTACCTGCTTGTTTTCAAAAGGAAAAACAAGCCCACAGGAAATAATTCTCACGGTGTCAAGTTAGGAAGCCTCAGGAAGAATGAAATGTCCAAACCGTTTGAAATCCAAACCCAGCATAGTTTTAATATTCATGAAATGCTTTCCTTAAGAATTCTTCATGCTTTATGCAAGTCTCTCAAAATCTCCCTTCAGGTGTCTCCTTTTTGCTTTCATGCCACGGTAATGCTTTCATCTGTGGATATCAGATTTGGTAGACTTCGGGAGGTGGAGTTGCATATACGAGAAAAACAAGAAAACGAATCAAAACATGGCTAATTCTGAAGCACTCTTTTATTGGCTTTTTAAATTGCAAAATTAATTTGAATCCGAGTTTCATTTTTTTATTGGTATAAAGTCACAGATCTTCACAGTTTATTGCCAAGTTGATAAATTTTAACCTTAACCTTTTAAACAATACCTGGCTTTTAATCTGGCTGCTGAAAGGGCACAAAATTTACAGGATATTATTAGAAATGTATGTAAGCTCAAAGAGTTTGCTCTCTCTTACATTTGGTCTTGCAGAATGCTGAACATACAGCTACTTATGGTGGTTTGTTATTAATAGTTTTCATCTTAGCAACCTGTAGAGAGCCGGGATGGGGAACTGTGGACCTCCAACTGTTTTTGGTCTGCAACTCTGATCAGCTCTACTTACGGTAGGCTAAACCAATAATGAGAAACTATGGGAATTGCAATCCGAAAACATCAAAATGGACACAGCTGCCTACTCCTGCTGTAGATCAATACATTTTTCTACTTGAAACTAGCAGTCACAGGGGAAAATATTGGTAAAAGCAAACCAACGCATTTGCAAATGCCTGCAATGCTGTATAGTCCACTACCATTAAAATGTGCTTTAATAAAGCCTGCTTTTCAAACCTCTGTGTATATTGTTATCAATATTAATTCAGTAAAGATAAATCTAGTGTCTTCCCCCCCATGTTTTTCTATCTTAGTTGTATTAATTTGCTTTTATTGTTATGTGCCATAAAGTCATGTCTAGCTTTGGGAGACTCTAATCGGTTTTTCAAGTTTTGTGAGATATTTAAGGATCAGTTATACCATTGACACATACACACATACCTGTGAGATGCCATGGCCAAGCAGGGGTATGAGCCCAGTTTTCCTGAGTCCCATTCCAACATTCTGTCCACTACACATTGGCTGTCAGTTTGCATTAGTGGTCTATATTTAACACAGTAAACCCCCAGACTGCCATGTTACTTTTCCTTGGAAGTATTCAAGAGCCTGTCATTATTTTGCATCCTACTTTTCTACTGAAAATGAGTTCAAGCCAAATACCCCTAATAAAACACAGATAAATAACCATAATTAAAACATAAACAAAGCCATTTAATTAATGTTACAATAGAAGGATTCATACCTTGTTATTTCTATCATGTGGCCCATCCATTTGGGTTTCCTGTCTCAGGAAACAAAATATTTAGCCCAGTTCAGTCTTGGATTTGGAGACGTGGATTTTAACCCTCAAAGTTCATGCTTATGTTTTGGGTGTTTTCAGTGGTCTAATAAAGGTATCACATTCTCCTGCATTTGCATTGAGTAATGGCCACTTTGTTGTTGTGTCTTCCAGAAGAAACTAGTTAATATATATTGTGTTTAAAAAAAATCTCTGTGATGCACATAGGAATTTATGAATAAAATTCACTTCAGCTGTTTCCTTCTCAAATCTCCCGCTGTAATTCCCTTATTCTACGATAGCCACTTTTGAGAGCTGCAACAGGATGTCTTGACACAAGCTTTCCTGTTGCCATTTCCGATTGTGCAGGTGTGACTGTTTATTTTCATAAGCAGAAATTGGCCTGTCCGCCCTGTACAGAATGCAGATGGGCACTTCTGGCAGATAAGGGCACGTGCCATGTTAGTAGATGATCTAACAAATCCCCTGATATTGTGGGTGACATTGCTGAGTCCAGGAATGCTACAGCCAGAGTAGCTGTCAGGACACCATCTAGGCATGCAGCTGGGTCTTGTTCATGTTAGTTAGTAGCTGTCTGAGATAATGGGACTGTCTGTCAGTGAGCACAGGCCTAGCTCCCAAGACCTGGAGAGGCTGATATTACATTTATAAATGGGCTTCAACTCATTTATGATACATGTGAATAACGTTAGAGTTGCAGATATAACTAGTGGTGTCCTGGTATTCTCTCTTTTTGGCCTGTTTTGTAGTAGCTGATTCCTGAGTAACCTATCTTTCTTGAGTATTGCACTCTGTTATAAATGGATTTTGAGTTTGTGTCTTATGGATTTCAGCAGATGCAACTGCATCTGAATGATTCCTGAGTAACCTGTCTTTCTTGAGTATTGCACTTTAAGAAATCTCTGTTATAAATGCATGGATTTTGAGTTTGTGTCATGGATTTCAGCAGATGCAACTGCATCTGAGAACATGACTGCAAATGATAGATTTGGCTTTAGTTCTGGAGGGAAGCTGGAGCCATGTGAGTAGGTGTAGTGATCACTGGATTTATGGATATGATTGGATACTTATGTGAGTGTTGTGCCGTTGCACAGTAGTATCCAGAAAGTGTACCTGTTGGTTTAGGTTGATGATAGGATGGAAGTCATTGAAGCTCTGGTAGAATTGCTTAAGGGACTCCTTTCCATGAATCCAGATGATAAAGTTGGCATCAGGAGATTTCAGACAGTGTAGAGGCATAAGAGTACAAATAAATACTCAATTCTTTTTGTTAAAGTCAGACATGAATATGTTTGCATACTGTGGTGCTGTATGCACATCTATAGCTGTGTTACCAGAGGTAATAATGTATCTTATGTATTACATAAGGTAATTATGAGTGGCTACAAGGTCACTAAATTTCAGACAGTGTAGAGGCGTAAGAGTACAAATACTCAATTTTTGTTGTTGTTAAAGTCAGACAGGAATATGTTTGCATATTGTGGTGCTGTATGCACATCTATGGCTGTGTTCTTGGTCTGAACATACATTATTACCAGACATTAAGGTAATTATGAGTGGCTACAAGGTCACATAGTTTTGTGACTAGATGTGTCATACATATCCTTGTTTGGAATGGTGTGCTAAATGCCATGTAGTCTATTCTTATTGAAGTAAAGTGCCTAGTGGCTAACATTTCTAGGATATTGTGAATGGACTAGTTTCCTCAAAAGTTATTTAAATCCCATACACAATTTGTGGGAATACAATTTGAAGACAGAGTCCCTATATCCAGCTATTCTACTAGTAATGTTGTCTATATTTGACAGTGGCCCTGGCACTCACCATGTTTTCCCAAAAATAAGGCAAGAGTCTTATATTAATGTTTGCTCCAAAAACCACATTAGGGCTTATTTTCAGGAGATGTTTTATAGTCATGTCATCTTCTGGTTGCTGCACAATGGTGGAGGGCAGGGTTTCACTTAACTAGGGCTTATTTTTGGGGTAGGGGTTATATTACGAGCATGCTGAAAAATCATACTAGGTCTTATTTTCAGATTAGGTCATTTTTGGGGAAACGGGGTAGTCAATTAGCCATTGTTAGTCACCACAAATTACACAAACTGTACATGATCATAAATAGAATTCTAGCCTCCACCTAGTCCTTAGGATGGAATTGCCTAATTGCAAAGAAGTACAAAAGCACAGACACACTAACAAGAAGGCAGTTCAGTTTTTTGTAGCTGGCACAGCAATGAGTTGCACAAGGCTAAAAGTGCCTATTCTCTGTCATAAGAGATACCTTGAAAAAAACAACTGATAAACAAAACTGATAACTAGCAACCTGATGCTTCAATTTCCATTTAATACTTCCTATATGACATTGAGAAGTATACTAGCACCAACAGAAGTGGCCTTTGCCAAATGGTTTCTGATTCATGAAGATTTCTGCTTCCCAAGGAAGACTGCAGGGTAATTGTAATTTTGAGTTCTAGCTAAGAAACATAAGCAATGAACTGATTGAGTGTCTTCTCTCAAAGAAATACCCACCATTGTTTTACTCGGAGGACAAAGCATCCCCTCTGGTAAGTCTATTCTTTCTGCCCCTGCTTTGGCACTGAGGAATTATTTTGGCCTTGTACCATTTCTCTTTAGAAGTCACCTGAAATTTATGTCTTTGAAGATTCAGTTAATCTGCTATTTCTCTAGCAATCAATTTGGGTCTTTTTAAGGGGGGGGGGTTATGGCACTAGAACAGCAGGTATCTCTCGTATTATGGTTTTGTTTATCATGTACAGCCTCAGAGTAGTGTTTTTCACTAACCAGGCAGTATAGCAATTCAGTAATGAATGAATGAATGAATAATAAATAAATAAATAAGCAAACAAAGTTAAAATATTAAAAGAGCTGGGTTTATTTTAAAAATTATACAATTATCACAAAGTTCACATACTTAAAAAATCGTTTTTAACACTGGAGCAACTACATTAAGCTCATTGTTAATTTTGATGTATTTTCTGTTGACAACATGAGATAAAGCTAGCTGCAAGTTGATCCAATCCTTTTCCTTGGCTATTCGGTATGTTTTATTCAACTAGCAAAGAGTAACTTTATTTTTAATTAATGTCTCCACTTGCATTGTGTTTTTTTCGCTTTCTGGTTTGTGTGACCAGCTCTATTGGGCCTCTGGGACAGTGAGTGTGAGAGAGTTCTTGCCACGAAGAAGAAGATGTTTTCAGTGAGGTGGGGTGTGATGGTTTAGCATTACTTTCCTCAGCATCACATCCCTAGGGACACCAGCCCCTTATGTTTCCTAAACAGGGTTTTTCTTTAGATGTTGATTTCCTCTTTGAACACTACATGAGAACACTGACTGACTGGGGATGTTCAGAAGCAAAGCCCTTTGAGTATCTAGTTGCATGCAGCACACATACACATGCTTAATGCTGTCACACACATACCATTGTGCCTAACAGACCTGTAAGGAGATTGAAGAGTGAAAGAAAGTCACCTACCCATGGAATCCCCCATCTCCTCAGCCAACCCTCCCACTCTCTAATTGCCAGCCCTAAATAGTGTCTGAACAGCACTAGGAGAATGAAGAGAGAGAAAAGGAAAGGATGAAGGGAAAAGAGGTGCTCCTTCCCAGTTCAGTGCTGTTTCAGAAGAGTGCTACACCACTTGCAAAACATTAAAAAAAACACACAAAAGAATTGAAATACCTAGTGATAGGCTACGGGGACAAGAATTTTGTAAGTATTATATATATGCACATCTAACACTTTTATATGTGTTCCAAAAAACTTGCAGTATTTCATTTGGCCATCTCAGCTGTTTGGGGGAAATTGGCAGTGGCAATTGCTGTAATGGGCCAATGAAAGATTTGGAAGAGATGGTGACAGTAGTAAAGGAGGGTAAGGGTCGTATAAAGCTGAGGAGAAATGTAGCTGATTTGACATTTGAAATCTTATATCGACATTTGAAATGCACCTTCCAAGATTTGTGAGCAAATGCAAATGTAACTGAGAGAAACTGGCAGACTTTCAATACAGAAATCCAGGACAATCTCCTATGTGATCACGCCCTAACAGAAGTACTGTAATAGATTAAAAGTAGAAGCCTGGACATGTCTGTTAGGAGGTACATTCCTCTTAACTCAATAGTTTCTGGTAAATGATTATAGACAGCCATCCACAGGTATTGCACACCAAGTTTTTGCCACAGCTATTTATATATCTAATAATTGGGGACTTTTGATCACAAAAGAAACTGGCATTTATTTTATAAAGATATATACCAGCTTTTAATTTTTTTCCCCCAAGGCTGCTCACAAAGGAATATTACAAATAATTATTTGGCAGCCTTTATTTTTAAAGAAAACTGGAAATATCAACAGCTATGCTCATTTCCTGTGGGTGAACCCTCACACTAAAGGCCCAACATGGTTGCTTTTGTTTCATCA